TCTTCGAGCATAGACTCGGTATAAAAAGGTGACCCTAAAATATCTATTACACTGGGTGTCTACTTCGGGACATGGTCGGCATTCCGGGAAGTCTAGGATCCGATCTCCTCATCGACTTCCGTATTCTAATGGAGGTCAGCCTCCTGAATCTCTCGTTCAACAATCACCTGCTCTTCGGGGGAGATCGATCTACAGGCCACAGTAATATCATCCTCCTCGGTCTCATCCCTGAGCCGATAAAGCAAGCCCGAGTCAGGTGCTCGAGAGCCAGAACTCTCCTTTGGCTTGTGAGCCAATCGTATTCTTGGTTTCTTCTTCTCCCAGCTCGGGGAATTCGGAGCCTTTCATTTCTTCTTCTCTCCTGCAGCAGCCCTGGGTTGTCCCAAGGCGGAGGGATTAACAGACAAGTCCTCATCCCATACTGAAGGCCTAAGCTCAATGGTCTTAGGCAAGCCTGCGAAAAGAACATAAAGGAAATGAGAATGTGATGCTAAAAGGGGGTCCCAATGTTACTTATTCGGGAAAGAAATCTTACCGTGAGAACGAGCCTCTCAGCGGCCCTTCGAGAGCTCACACCATATGCGCTCAGAATAAGGCATCTACGAGCAAATACTCTCGATCCACTCCTTGAGCCGAGGAATGGCGTTTGAAACTCGAGCAAGGCCTACACCACAACACATAACGATGAGAAAAGGGGAAGATAAAACACAAAATCGACATTTATAAGAAAGTTATGCTTACGTGACACATTACACTTATCGGGGAATGGCCTGAACTCGGCAGGGATCAAGTCTGCGGTCCTCACCCGGACAAAGCGTCACTGCCAGCCCTGATCCCGATCCTCGTCGATGCTTGAAAATGGGGCTTTGTTGGCTCGTCGTACGAGCTTTTCAACCCCCGTCGCTCGGAAGATTCAGGGATTATACATGCGGAGTAGATGATTGATGGTGAACAAACAAGAGTCGATTTTGTTCACAAATAATCGGAGGAGGATTACGATCCTCCACAGCAATGGGTGGATATGACCGAGGCACACTTCATACCTCATAAGAAGTCCAGAATAACCGGGTCCACTGGGCACAGTGTGAAGAGGTAAGTGAGAACACTCAGATACCTCTCTACATGGGTAGTAATGTCGTCATCGGGCCCGAGGATTACTATATCCTTATCCGCCTAGCCGCAGTCCTTGCGAACTGCAGGAAGGACAACCTCGGTGATGGAGAAAATGTACCTAGATACCGCCTCGAATCGGACTTGCACCGATGAGGGTTTTTCAAGGGAGGTTCGGTTGCCGGTTCATCGGTATACGCGCCCGGAGCAGACCTTTCGAGGTCAACCACATCGGGAGTACTCTCCTCGGCTTCAGCGGTCGGCCGTGAAGAAGAAGTAACAACTTTTGGGGAACAGTCTTAGAAGTCTTTGCCATTGTTACCTAGAAAAATATTAGAATAACTGAGAAGGAAGATTAGGAAATGAAGGGTAAAAACTTGGTGAGAAAATCAAACATGCTGGTTTGGGTAAAAGATAAACGAAAACTTGCCATTTGCTGAAACCTCTTGAAGAACGAAGGTAAATATATTAGGGTATGAAGAGAGGCAGTGATATCCTAAAGGTACGAGGGTAGAAGCTTGGTCAAAAGGTAAAAAATGAACAAAGGCGAGGAGTATTTATAGAGGCTTCCCGTCGTTTCATATCCAAGGACGGCATGCTGACGGCTGACACGCATTTGAAGTCATTATGACACGTCTGACGAGATATTTCGAATCTTTTTTTGTTTTTGTTACGGCGTGTTGGGGAAGGAATCGAGGTGTTCATGTCGTTTCTCGTTGTTTCCGTAAACTTACTCTCCGTGAAACGAGGGGACTATCTGTATACGGGTGAAACTGAGCCCATGAGATGCCTCGGCTTCCAATGAAGCAAACAGAGCAAGAGACATAACGGCAAGGAACCAGAATCGAGACCAGGAGCCCCTCGAGCGGGGGTCCGGGCAAAGCATCCGGACTCGGGAGTATCGGGGTCATGACCCCGAGTTCGGTTCGAATTCTAAAGGCCTCGGAGAGCACTACCAGGTAACCGAGCACGACCAATAAAAGGTCGTAATATCCGTGACCAGCCAGATATCACGGCGTGGATCTCAGCACGTATCGGCAGAGAATCAGTGATTGGTTAAACATAAAAAAATTTACCTTTTATAGAATTGTACCTAGGGTAAAACTCCTCTACTATATAAAGGGGGTTTGATTATTTATTATAGTTAGGGAAACACGCATATCAAAGCAATACACTCTTATTTTCTCTGTTATTCAAAGTTCTTACTCTTGTTCATCAGTGCTTCGTTATTGTGAGTCCGGGATCGAGGGCAAACATCTTATTAAGGCTGTTATCGAGTCCGGAATCACCCTCCTTGAGTGGTTTGACAATCTATTACGTCTTTTATCTGTTTGATCTAACGCAATTTATTATTTGTATTGAATTAATCCATGTATCCTTAAAACCACATACAAATTTAATTGTTATCTTTTCTTGGGTAAACAACAGAAAAAATACCGAACCATACCGAATAAATTTACATATGGAAAATATATTTATATATTAGGTTAAAAATAATAATGTACTAAATATTTTCTTGGGTCTTGGAATTATGAAAATGGTTACAAGCCAACAAATAATTAAGATCAAAATCCTAATTCCCAAACCTATTATGTTATTCCTACTGAAACTAAATTATTTCCAGCATATTCACTAGTAAGACATAAAGTATTCCAACGATTTTGAGTAGCAAACTACATTGTATTGAATATGTTTCCTTTCGTATGATTTAGATTTATCTTTTTGAGTATTTAATCTTCTATGACTTTGTTCTTGAGTCCCAACTTGGTTAATATCTTTTGACTTGTGTGATTTATCTTTTCTTTGTCTTTGCGTGGTTTCTTTTAAGTATCAGTAGAGTAGTTGATGGATCTATACTCAGATCATCTTTCATGTTTTCATAATTCATCACCATTTAAACAATAAAATTGTGTAGAGAGTTTTATTAAGTCCTGTAAAAGTATGTACGTTATTGCATACTACTTTTACTAGTGATTTTGACATTTAAAAAAAATACCGAAAATTAACTGAATCGTACCGATAACGAAGAGAAACCGACATGATTGAGACAATTTTAAAAGGTTTAGTTTTAATTATATATAATAGAATAACTGAAAAATTGATACGGTACAAATTATATAAAATAACCGGCCGAACCAAACCATTTACCCTACGTATAACAAGAGCTCGTGGGGTGGTTAAAGTGGTTTTTATTCTTACTGATCACCTTTCTCAACTGAACTTGTGTAATTCGTACATTTAACTCCACACTTTATGATAATATATGGTATTATGTTGTCACATATAATGTCATACTTTACGATAACATAGTTAATATTATGCTTGTTAAGTACGAATTGTCAATATTAATTAGTTTGTGTGCTTATAGCTATATGCATGTATCTGATCGATTTGGTTAGTGCGCAAAAAGTAATTATAGCGAGTAGCAACTAATCAACAACTTAAAATTAATCAGTAATGACTTGATAAGTATACAAATAAAATAAGCGATGAACTTCAACATTGTACGACAGTTTGGCCGAGTGGTCTCCGAGTGGTCTAAGGCGCCAGATTTAGGCTCTGGTCCGAAAGGGCGTGGGTTCAAATCCCACAGCTGTCAAATTTTTTAGTAGTACTTATTTTCTCTTTTAATGTGAACTCTTCAAATTCTTTTTCTTTCTCTAGTTCTCTCCCAACCTATGCCGACTGTTATTCATTGCTGGTAGCTGCAATCATAGGTTGGCTATCCTAATAAGCCCAAATTTATATAAGTTGTACTCGACTTAATAGCTTGTTTGACGAAGCTTGAAAAATCAACTTTATTATAAGGAGTATTTTTTATTCAAAATAAATTTTTTCAAAAGTATTTTTGATTAGAAATAATTTATGTTTCGCTAATTAATTTAAAAATATTTTTAAGTAGTCATTAGTGTTTCTCCAAACTTTTAAAAAGTATTTTTAAATGTATTTTTCTCAAAAGTGATTATAAAAAAAGTGCTTATGGGAAGAAACTATTTTTTTCTGCTTTTCCAAAACTCCTTCTGCTTCAACTCAAAATCACTTATTTTCCTTCTAAAAGTTTGACCAAACACTTCAACTTTGAAAAAAAAATATTTTTTTGAGGAAAAAAAAACATTTTTCAACTTGGAGAAACTTGGCCAAATATGCTATAAATCAGTGACCGGTATTAGTAATGCCTACAGTAAAGTCTTGAATAATCCATTCTCTTAATAAAATTGAAAACAACTAGCAGTAGAAACAAACATAGAGATAGAATTTTACCGATTTTGTTAAGAGAATGTTTGAGAAATGTTTAGTTGGATATGATAATTCATATAAAACTATTCTACACATAGTGACCACTCATATAATACTCAAAATTTAATTAAGTTGGAGAATGACCCATAATTTTGTTTCTCTCGACTTTTCGAATACTTAATGAATATTATCTTCCAATAAAGGAAGTCCTAATGAGCCCTCATTCTTTGGTATCCCCTATAAAATTACTTTAGCTTTAATAGTTCAAGTAATAAGTAATTCTTGTACTATTGACCTAAGTAAATTAAAAATCTTGTACTATCCGATGTCTTTATCAAACAAAAGCATTTAATATTCCTTCAATTATAGAAACACCAAAAGTGAACATACATTTTCCGTGGGATCAATAGGCGACTATTAAATTAAAAAAATGATATTTTTAAATCAAGCGACTGTTGAATTAAAAAAATGATATTTTTAATTTTTTGTATAATTTAATTTAACTTCTTATTTTACTTTTATGACAAAATTTGATAATCATACAAATATGTTACTATGTGTCAGCATCACAAAATTTCCAAATTTTGTATTCATACAATTTTATTTTACATATTTAAGACCATAATATATCAAATATCTTCCCTTCTTTCTTTGAATTCTGCACTCACGCAAATACCAGTATAAATTAAACCGAAGCAGTAGTGTTTATAGCGGTTAAGCACGGAACTTAAAGCAGAAACCCAGACCGATAATGTCGAGCATTTGCAAAACCAAACCGGTAGAGGGCCGTAGACTCCTGAACCGGGTTTTAACCATTTTGACACCGTATATCCACCAGCCAAACCGTTCCATTGCCACTGTAGCTTTCGAAGAAGTCCGGTCTTCGCCGGAAAAACCTTACAATTTCACAGCTTTTATACTTCACGGCCTCTTAGGTTCCGGTCGTAATTGGCGATCATTCTCCCGATCCCTCGCTTCCTCCCTTTCTGCAGGTATTTTAGTCACTTAATCAACTACGTCTCGATCTCAATTTAGTTAATAATTTGTGCTAATTAGGTCCTGTTAGGTTAAAATTTTACCTCCCTTTCTGCAGGTACATCTCAATATCAAACTAGTCAAATTAGTTGGGGAACCCTTATATGCATTCTCTAAAGACATTATTATTCAGATCAATTTCATTCCAATGTAGGTGAATAATTTCGTCGTTTAAGGCGAATTAGGAATTATTTTTTTAATTTTATCACTAAGACATACATGTCTCTAATCAGACTTTTCAGCTAACAATGGACCTAACTACTAGGGATAGTTAGGTCCATACAAATCCCTAACTAGACTAATCTTTAATTAGTTTAACTTATATACCCCAAACAAAAGAGATTAGCCTCTTGATCCGTCAATTGACTGGATCGAAGTACCAAGGAGTTGATTGAAGTCTTAGATCAGCCCAAGACTAAGGCCTAGTAACTAGCTGCTGCAGGATTTGACGATGAGCCAGACAGAGATTGAAGAGATCAAACACGGGAATAAGAAGCAAGCTAGCCTTCCTTTTTGATCATTTTGATAGAGTGGATGAAAAAAATGGACATAACAGACTCGCATGTCTCATCCAACAAATACAAAAAGATTTTCTCTTACATTATTAGGTCACCCAATAGAAATATCAAGCCTCCATAAAAAGTAGTATTTGTAATAATGAAAGTAATGCAGGTTACCTGCCACAAGAAGTAAAAGACAAACTGGTATAGAAGACCTGCAACAACAACATACCCAGTATTATCCCACACCGTGGGGTCTGGGGAGGGTATTGTGTACGCAGACCTTACCCCTACCTTGTGAGTATGGTAGGGAAGACCTGACAGTATAAAAACTCATTGCACTGTTGGTGCATAGTAGTTAAATTCATTTTTAATTCATAGAGTTCTCTATAAGTTAGGTCCTGTAAGTTCAGAATTATTAACATATGCTTCAATCTGTTTGTTGTTTTAGATGGTGTAAATTGGAGGATGGTTCTTGTGGATTTGAGGAATCATGGGAAGTCAGCTGAAATTGAAGGCTTCGTGCCACCTCATGATATGGAAAACGCTGCTAAAGATGTGGCTAATTTGGTGAATTCACAGGGTTGGGATTGGCCTGATGTTGTCATAGGGCATTCCATGGGTGGCAAGGTCGCCTTGCAGTATGCTGAGAGCTGCTCTCGTGGTGTTTATGGCCAATCAGCTCGATTGCCCAAGCAGGTGCTTGCTCTTTGTTGCAATTGATTGAAAATTTTATATCTAGGACCATCTTTTGAAGTTCATTTATGAATAACAGATCAGATTAGCTGTTATAAATCATGTTACAGATTTATTTGGTGAATGATAGTTTAATTTTAACCGTGTTTTCTGTCCTACCATCTCAGTAAGCTTCTCTTTCTATGTGATAAAGTTGTAAAGTTTTTTCTATGCCAGTGGGAGGTAGTAGGTACCCGGTGGAATAGTAAAGGTTCGCGTGAATTGGCTCGGACACCATTGTTATCATAAAAGATATAGTTGTTGAGTTTTTCATAGTAATATCCAAGATATAACATTGCCGATTTAAGCAATGTCCTCCTTCATTTAGTGCAATATGTTTTCAGGAAGTTTAAGTTACATTTTTGTTTATCCCTGATTACACCAAGTAAGAAAAGAACCTTGTTTTGGAGATATTTGAAAGAAGAGAAAATAAAAGTAAAAGATATATACACAACGTTAAGTATTTGCATTTCCATCACTGTCAATACTTTCTCTCTCTTCCCCCTTTTGAATTCCCTTCTTTTCTATATGTTCGTAGTTCCATCTTTTTGCTTCCCTGATCTAGAATGCTTTATAGATAACTATTCTAAGTTCTAACCATGAAGGAGCTACAACCAGATGGTAGCCTGTATTTTGAGAAGATAAAGTGCGTTAAAGTCAGAAAATGTGAATGTACATAACTTTGTATACATATATTTTTTTTTTTCATGGAGGGGCAAGCAGAAAGTCGTGGGAGTTTCCTTATGTAGGTTTTTGTTGTAGAAATACCTTATGATTCATCCCCACTATGTTATGTTTTTGCCTTCAGACCTCTTATTGTCCTCCCCTTTATAAAAAGGATAAGCACTTAACTTTTGCTGTGAGCTAGATCTACGCTCTGAACTGATGCTTGAAAATAAGTCTCTTACTTGGAAGTCCTTGTCATTTTGGAGCATCTACAAACTCTTGAATCAACATAAACCTGGAAACCGCTGCATGCGCTGCCCTAGCTTAGCTTGGCAGCGAAATCACACTTCCAAATTTGGTTATGCAACCACTTTCCACAAACTATTCCAGTAAACGTGGAAATGACGTGCAAAAGTGAGTCACGTGGGTACTTTGATAATATACAGTTTCCAGAAATATCTGAGTAATCGACTGCTTTTACCTACATCTGATTGTACCACTTGCATCGTGTCTTACTGAATTCATATGCTAATTTATACTCACCTGATGCAGAACAGCTCTGGGTATTGGATTCTGTCCCTGGAAAGGTGGACCCTGAAGATAGCAGTAGAGAAGTAGAGAAAGTTATGCAAACACTGCAGAGCCTACCTTCATCAATCCCATCTCGAAAGTGGAGTCTCTATGCCCTCTGATCACTTTTTTCTTTAAACATGATATAAGCATCATTTTGGTTGTGTGTCTATAGTAGTTGTGCTCAAGATGTATGTCTCATTTATGGTGTCCAGATTGATACAGAATTATCCAACCAACTTGTTTTCAATAATTTTCGGATGATTTAGAAAAAAGTCTAGCTAATTATTAATGGTTGGTCTGTAACATTCAATTGGACGTAGAAAACAGCAAGACTTGGAATGGGTGAAAAATCACATATTATGTGGTTTGCAGTAGTCTGACACTTCAAAACATTTGCGCTTTTTATACTATGTCGTACATAGTAACTCTATGAGCTTGCCAGATGTCATGGTTAAGGCTAAATTAACTTCTGGGAAGTAAAAAACCCAAGTGTATTTAGCATACAATACTTGCACCTCTTTTCTACGAGTCTAATCTTGCCTACCTGAATATTGATCTCTTATTATTTTGTCAGTTGATTACATGTTTTTGTATGTCGATATCTCTGACATGAATTTTATTTCAGATGGCTGGTGGATCACATGTTGAAACTTGGGTTTTCAAAGGCGTTATCAGAATGGCTGGGAAGCAATCTTCAGAAATCAGGGGATCAGATGACATGGACCTTTAATATTGAAGCTGCTATTGAGATGTTTAATTCTTACAGGTAAACCCCGATCCATTCTTCAGTACTCTTCTCAGTTTTTCTAGTCAATAAGAATCTTTTATTCGAAGGTTGTTTACTGAAACATGGAACTTATTAGGGAGAAAGATTATTGCCCTCTGCTGGAGCACCCACCTAAAGGGACAGAGATAGCGATTGTGCGGGCTGAGAAAAGTGATAGGTGGGATCCTGAGACTGTCCAAAAACTCGAAAGCCTTGCCTCCAATGGAGGTGGTGAATCTGAAGGCAAGATGTCGTATCATACCCTTCCCAATTCCGGTCATTGGGTTCATGTCGAGAATCCAAGGGGTCTTCTTGAAATCATAACTCCCAAATTAGCTTCTCTTGTTTAGCCAGTTTAGTTTCTCTTCTGGTATGCATGGGTCATAATTTAAACATTCTTGTAACATCTGCTTTCTTTCTTTCACTCACTTTCCATTTTAGGGATTTGCTTTGTACCAACTGAAAATGACATAGGAATTTACTCTTTGGCATACCTGAGCACTTGCTTGCTTGTCCCTCAGTCTTGTTTCTTGATTCAATAAATCGAACTGATGGTTTCCTGGTTGCAAGAATTTGGTATTTCCGGGCCATTTGCTTTCATCTGCTGCTGCACCACAGCTAGAAGTATCCTTGCCGAAGTTCAATATAGTACAAATTTGAAAAGTCACAAGGAAATAATGTTCCTTGTCAGTCACAAACTATTAGCTAAGTCTCTTTATTAATTATTCGCTAAATGTAACAACTTTTATTGTAAAGTTACTCTTTTACTCTTTTTAAGAGAATCTTTATAGAATCTTAGGGGTGTAGGATGCATTATAGAAAATAATGCATGTATTAGCTTTTGGTATTATTAATCCCTTGTTTGGTGAATTTTTTTAATCTATGTATTATTAATGCAAGTATTAGTTATAACAAATATTTGGTATTATCCTATATATAACTAATACATAGCAAACTATGATATTAGTAATATCAAGGCTATTAATGCATGCATTATTATGGTTAAATGCATGGTTAAAGACAAAATTGGATTTTAAGCCGCAGAATATGAAGAGCATCTTTGTAAATAACTAATTTTCGTAAAAACTATACAATGCATTTTAATTTTTAATACACTACAATAAATAGTGGATAAAAAATAATTTTTACATAACTAATGCTTGCACTACTAATCCATGCATCACTAATCTTTGCATTACTAATACATCTTATTCAACGTTATTCTTATACACCTTACCAAACGACCCCATAAAGTGACAGACACAGATTCTGTGCAAGTAATGTCAGTTTTGTTTGGTTGTAAGAGTTTGAGTCTAAGATTGTGATGATTTTAAGATGGCCAAAATACATAGACTGAGACTAAGGACCATTTGGCCATAAATTTTGTCAAAATAAATTTGGGTGTTATTTGGCAAATATATATTTGGTCATAGATTTTGCCTACATTTTGGCAAAATCTTAAATCCCAATAGTTGATTTTGCCAAAATATCACTATTATATTTTTTAAAAATTGTCTCAAACTTTTGTACTTTATAAAAGAGCCCACCATTTATTATTTTGTAACAATGTTGCTTCGTCTTCTCGACCACCTGATAGTGTATCATGTAGTTTATTATAAAAATAATAATTTTGTATCAAATTTATTTATGTTCAGGACTATGGTTTGCGATAATATAATGAATGTTATTGATAATGGTATTGTTGGGTATTTGTGATAGTTTTTAGAACTTATAGGTATAAGTCATGTTTCGTGTTTTTTCAAAATAAATTTGGGAAATATGTTTTGAAAACTGATGTCCAAACACATTTTCATCTTCAAACCAAACTTCACCCAAATCAGATTTTTCAGAACAAATTTGGGAATCTATGGCCAAATGCTAGCTAAGATTGTGATGATTTTAATATGGCCAAAATACATAGACGCCCCTTAAAGTGGTTTCAATTTTCATTTAGACACCTCAACTAAGACAAGACTAGTACCTATTGAACACACTTTACTCACAGCAATTGTATTTCTATCGAACACCTCATGCTATTTCTTCATCACATCGAACTCCCACCATTATCATCTTCTTCCAGTTTTGGTGATTGATCACCAGAAATTTTCTTTTTTAAAATTTTACTTTTGATCTTTTGTTAGTTTCTTTTGTAAAAGCAAAATATCTTACCTTTCCTGTCTCATAACAAGTTTTACAATTCTTGTGCAACCACGACCAACTTAACTTCTTCAGTGAAAAGTGAGATATTAAAATGAATGATATTTTTGAGAGGTGCTTTTAGTGAAAAACGAATACTCGCCAGAAGATAGAAGATGAGAAAAAAAAAGACAAGAAAAAGAAAGAAGACGAAAAAAAGGGAGGGGGAAAGATTATACTAGGAAAGTTTTTATAAAAGCCTTCTTCTGTCTAATTTTAATTTTATATTTCTTGTTTGTTATTTTACCGATGTCAACCATTGATTGGTTCATTAGAGTGTTTGGTAATCACGCTCTCATTTGAAAAGAGATGTGTCTAAAGTGTTCAATATGCACACTTTAATAAGGCTAAAGTGTTCAATAAGTACTTATCATAGTTGATGTGTCTCAATAAAAATTGTAGCCAACTTTAAGTGGTTATTTATGTGTTTGACATTTTAAGATTTTACTCTCCTAGGATGATATTTATTTTTTAACCAATTTTTAAAAGTTGTAGACCTAATGTGTATATACAATTATACATACACTAATCTTAAAGTAGGTGCGTTGCGCGTGTACCCCTATCTCAATCAATAGCTTTTTCAAAAAATAATCGCATACTTATTATATTAAAGTCTTTGTTTGAGTCATAAATTGAAGCGTAAATTTTGAGAACGATGGAAATTGGTTATATATAATTAACTCAATAAAAGAAGAAACTGTAAAATAGAACTTCTCAATCATTAATTATTATCCTATTGTGCTTTTTGCATGAATATTTTATAAAAGATATTGTTATTTTTGCGACCTACTGAAAATAATTAAATAACATAAAAATGCTTGTATCATGATTTTTTTAAAATTTGTGAACTAACACAAATTGGAAAAATGACTCTTTTAGTCTTCTAGGAGAATTGGAATAGCGTGGTTGGCCTATCATTCCGGAAAATATTGTTTAGTTACAACATAAAGTCTAAAAAGACTAATATTGAGTTAATATTTTTTGTAAAAAAGTAACTTAATTTATATAAATATAATGAGTTGTCATATGTTAGAACGTTTAAAATATATTTTGTGTTCAACTATTTCATCCTTATTACTTTAAGTTTTCTCTTACCCAATTTAACGTTACTATATCGTAAATAATTTTACTTTATTTATATATTCTAACTATTTAAAAAATAATTTATTGTACGGTGAGTAATTTAAAAAGGAATTGAATGTTGTCATTTTTTAGAACATTGAGAATATATTTTGACTTATATTGTTCCAGCCTTATTGCTTCAAATTTTCTCTTAGCCAATCTAACGTTACTATACTATTAATGATTTTACTCGATTTAAATACCCTAACAGTTTTGTATACTTTAAAAATAAATTATTGTACAATGAGTTTAAAAAAGAATTGAATTTGATTCTTTTGATATAGCTAATTTTAAAACTTAATTATCTTTATCTTAATTTTAAAGGAAATAATGTATTTTTCGCAGATTCTTAGTATTGGTTCATTCCGACTTTCAATTACGCAATAAAAATTTAATTTTAAAGGGTAAAAATTTATCTGACATTTCACTTTGGATTTTTGTATTTGAAGAATCATTAGTGTTATTGCCTATTGCTAATTACCTCTATCTCTTTTAAATTTTGCTAGTTATTTATTCTAATTAGTGAGTATCGTTTTTAAATATTATATAAATGATAAATAAATAATTTTATTTGAATAAGAAAGTAGTTCAAATATAATAATATAGAAATCAGAAATAACCATTAAACATATTCATCATTAATTGATACTCTGAAGTTTAACTATTTATCTTTCTATATTGTATTTAATTAGATTTCAAATAGTAATTGATTTATGCTATAAAGAAAATAGCACATTCACAATCCTATCCACGTTATTTAATTTGAAGAATATTTTGACAAGTAATACGTTCAACATGCATTAAGTTCGTTATTAAGGCAATTATATTTTTTCTAATTTTGAAAAACTAAATATTAGAAATACTAACCTGGAAGGTATTATAGTTTTGTAAGGTAAACTCTTAATTGTTTTAAAGTCCTAAATATTAGTAATTCTTACATAAGTCAAATAAGGAAAAATTTAATAACCAAAAATTTAGTTGATTTTAAGGTACTAAATATTAGGGTAATAATTAAATGATTATTTTATCTAGTGTGAAATTCAGTTTTAAAGGGTAAAAAAGGCGAACGACATTTTGCTAAGGGCTTTCGTGCTTTTAATATAGTACTAGTCTTAACGTACGCGTGTCTCTCGTGTTAATAAAAATAGTTTTTTAAAAATAACATAAATAATATTCAAAAGACATGTTTATAGTATAATATAAAAATTAACAAAAATTTGCAAGCTCCAAAATAATAAATATTAATCATATTAGGACTTTGATCTAATCTAGTAGTTCTCCTTCAGTTTGTTCTCTTACTTGCTTTATTGTCAAAAAGTCACAGGAGTAGTGTTTGATTGAAAGGTAAAAAGATCGTTCAACTTTACGTGAGGACTTGGGTACGTGCATTGTATGTATATTTCATGTTACTTATTACAAAATTTGTGTTGAGATAGTTTACCAACAATTAAAAAAATTTTACTCATTTTACGGTACTGCTAAAGTTATAGCGTTATTCTATTGATACCTTAGTAATCACATAGGCATCCGAACTCGATTATTATTAAGAATTCTTATAATTTTTTTGCTCGATTGTTATCTTATTTTACTTATGATTTTTTTCTAAAGTACTTTCGTTTCCTATTCTTATTTCTTTATATATATATATATATATGTGTATGTTGAAGACATGGGGAATCATAGGAGATGAAGCAGTTGAGGCAGTACAAGAGTTTTTCAGAACAGCTGAGGTTTACAAGCCAATTAATTGCACCATAGTGACTTTGATACCAAAAGTGCAGAATCCATCCAGAATAGCTGAGTTCAGACCAATATCCTGTTGCACCACCATATATAAGATCATTTCCAAACTCATTACTAGCAGACTACAAGAGGTAATGGATTATCTAGTAAGATGATAGTCAGTCTGCATTTGTTCCTGGAAGGGTAGTATCAGATAATATTATACTAAGTCATGAACTAGTTAAAGGGTATAACAGGAAGTATATCTCTCCAAGATGCTGTATGAAGATTGATATGAGGAAGACATATGATTTTGTGGAGTGGTGCTTTCTAGAACAGGTTCTAATTCAACTGAATTTCCTAAAAATTTTCATTCAATGGGTCATGAAGTGTGTCACTACAGTCTCTTATTCCATTCTCATTAGTGGGAATCCTATGAAGTCATTCCCAGCAAAGAAAGGACTCGGACAGGGGGACCCTATATCCCCTTTCCTATTTGTACTAGTCATGAAATATTTCACAAGAGTTCTAAAGAGGCTGAAAGAGAATAAGGAGTTTAAATTCCATCCCAAGTATGCAAAGTTGAACATAGTACAACTTGATTTTGCAAATGACCTTCTACTATTTTGTAGAGGTTATATGGCTTCTGTGAAAGCTTTGTATGCTTGTTTTCATATGTTCTCAAGAGTGTCAGGCCTGGAGGCAAATGTGGAGAAAAACAGTGTTTACTTTGGTGGAGTTAATCAACAATTACAGCTTGACATACTTGACCACCTTGGTTTCTTAAAAGGAGAACTTCCTCTTAGGGGTACTTCTTAGCACAAAAGGACTGTCCTTGGCTCAATGTAAGCCCCTAATTGATAAGATAATAGGCAGGGTCACAAGCTGGACATCAAAGCTATTGTCTTATGCAGGGAGACTTCAGCTAATCAACAGTGTTCTCTTCTCCATCCAAACATTCTGGTCTCAAATATTTACCCTACCAAAGAAGCTGATTCAATTGGTCGAAAGTGTATGCAAAAGATTCTTATGGACATGAGGAGTAGATAATTCAAAAAGGGCACTAATTTCGTGGGATAAAGTCTGTATTCCAAAAGTTACAGGGGGGACTAAATATCATGGATATTCAAGCTTGGAACAAGGCTACTATATGCAGACTACTGTGGAATGTTTGTACAAAAAAGGATAAGCTATGGGTAAAGTGGATACATTGCTACTATAGGAGAAGAACTACACTGTGGATGAGTCAACCTAAGCAAGCATCTCGGATTATACAGAAGATCTTAAAAGCAGCAAAATACCTAGAAGAAGTGGGACTACAAGAGAAAGAATTCATACTGATAAGGACCTTTTCTATTCAGAATGTACATGAAGCTTCGATGTGAGTTCCCTAAATGTTCTTGGAGAAGACTAATATGTAAGAACTACGGGGCTCCTAGATGAGTGTTAATATTATATCTAAACTTACAAGGGAGATTGCAAACAAGAGATGGAATAGCTAAATGGAGTCAGATTGAAGACTTGACATGCCCACTATGTGTTAGAGAACCAGAAACAACTGAGCAGCTATTCTTTAAATGTGAAATTACATCGAAAATGTGGGAGAGATTATTGGAATGACAGGGAATCAAAAAGAGAGCTCAAGGATGGTCTAAAGAAGTTCAATGGGCAGAGGTTCATGCAAAAGGACAGTCATCAATGGCTAATATGTATAGACTATGCATGGCAGCGTGTGTCTACCATACATGGATGGAAAGGAACTTGAGGATATTTCAAGGCAAGTCCAGGACAAAGGAGATCATCTTACGATTGATAGCACAGGAAGTCCATAAACGAGGAAATCAGTATAAGAAGCTAACTAGGAAGTTGCAAGCTATGAAGTGGTACCCTAGAGATTGAGGATAACCTTAGTTGTTTTCATTCTTGTACTCAATGATAGAGTCTAATGAGTATAAGACTTGGGGCATGATGTCCAAGTTCCTAGTAAAACAAGTGCTGTAATGTTATATTTGGTTTGTGAAATAAAACATTTACTTGCCAAAAAAATAATAATTTTACATTTAAAAAAGATTATCATATAATTATTTCTTAATATATATTTTTTTGAAACATTATTTCTTAATATTTAGACAATAAAGTGGATAAAAAATTTGAGTATACTTCAAATTCTAAGTCCTTATTGTTCAAAGAAAAAAGAATGACCCAATGCTCTTTAAAGTCTAAATTCATGCCACCTCAGTATGAATTATCATTAATGTTCCCATTTTTCAAATTAAAAGTTTGACTTGCGTGCACAATATTTTACGTGCCCTCTTAAATATTAGCCTTAAATTTTTTGGATCAATTAGTTACTTTAGTTTCATTTACTTTTTTTCTATAAAAAATAACATATAAGAATTATAATTACGTAACATATATAGTTCAAATAAGAACAAGATTTAAGTAAGATAAAATTTCGATTGACTTTAAAGTCCTAAATTTTAGGAATTTCTTTCTAGTTCAAATGGAAAAAGATTTAATAACCAAAATCTTAGAAATATTAGGTGAATAATTAAATGACTATTTTGTCTAGTATGGACTTTTTTTTAAAGGGTAAAAAAAACAAACGACATTCACTAAGAGATTTCGTGCTTTTAATATAGTATAAATAGATAAATTAATTTTAAAAAAAAAATATTGTATTATTTGTCCTCGCATATATAAGGAATATTTTTTGCTAAATGGTATTGGATGACATTCCCTGCTAAAGAATGTCTCCGCCACTGAAACTTACTTTAATCTGTACTACAAGCCAACGCCTTTGATCCTTATTATAAATTGATCTTTTTTTTTTCTCAAGCAATTGCTATCTTCAATAGAATTCTTACGAAAATATTCTAGCTTTATGTTTTGTCATATAACACCATGTATTAGAGCTAATCTAATTCTGAAAGATTAAGAAGCTGGTGAGCAATTCAATTAATTGAGACGTCATAATTTTTAAACGAGTGATTATAATTAAAAAAAGCCATGATAAAACTGAATAGCATTTGGAGCCTTACAAAGCAAACCAGTTGGTAGCTTCATTCTTAGAGATTTTAAGTTGGTTAATTTTAATTTTTATTTCTTAAAGGCTTTAATTAAGTTCTTATTTTTATTTAAAATTTAAAACATGAAATAAAATAGGACAAAAAGAATATTTTTACCAATTGTGACATAGGAGTAATTAACAAGATGGGGTCCATCAGGCACTCCATCAAAGGATTAGGGGCATTCACGATCCAAAATAAAGAAGAGGGACCTTTATGATATTATCAAACTTCATCAAAACCCTAGCTATATAAACAAAGGCAGATGTATAAACACTCTTCCTCAGCTATTCGCACCACCTCCACAGCTAGGGTTTTTCAAGCTTCAGTAGCAGCTCAGCCGTCTCATCAGCAAATCAACCGAAACATGGTATTCTCTTAATTTCTGTTTAAATTACTGTGTAACTCACCGAATTAAACTCGTACGATGTTAATTAATATAGATAATGGAGTTTATTTGTTAGTACTTGTGCAAATGTACTGGAAATGTATTAATTATTCAGCTAGATTTGTATCCGAGAATTTAGATTCTTAATAATGTTTTAGCAAAGTAAATGTATGCTGATGGTCTTAAGTTTGATAATGGATGGTTCTTAAGCATTTTATAGATTTAAGGTTGTTTTTTTTTAAATTTTTTTTAAAAGTAATTCCGCTAAGTTTATGTTGATGGATTGTATTGGATTTATAGTCTAAGAGAAGGACCAGGGAGCCCAAGGAAGAGACTGTAACCCTAGGACCAGCTACCAGGGAGGGTGAATTGGTCTTTGGTGTTGCCCACATTTTCGCCTCTTTCAACGACACTTTCATCGTAAGTTCTTGATTTTTTCTTCCATGGTACTTGTTCTGGTTTGTAGAAGAAGCTAAAGGATTGAATTTGAGCTTGTATGTTAATTGCAGCATGTGACTGATTTGTCTGGACGGGAAACAATGGTCCGCATTACTGGTATGTACTCTGTAATGTGGGAGTAGTTACATTTGTGTAGTTTTTTGTTCTGGATTTCATCATTAGTGGGCTCGTGAAAAACTTAATTTCTTCAGCCAAAAAAGGATTTTATAACCACACAGTAAGCAGATTGTATGTTTCCAGTTTTTTAATTTTCTTGTAGAAAATGTATGACTTTGTACTACAATTTTACAACAACTTCTACACCTCAGTCCTAAACAAGTTGAGTCTACGTGCATCCTCATTGACCATGTTTCTCCATTTAAACTCACTTCATGCCAATATTATACAAAATAATTCGTTATATCTTCTATTGACATATTAATCTCTAAAAGGTTTAACAACTCCTAGAATAGCATAGGACATAAAGTGTAAATGTTAACATAACTAAAACCTATTTAGAATTTAATGTATGAAATGCATGAATTTTTTTAGATTTCTGAATGAAATTGGCAAACACATTTTATCTCAACTTATCTGTTTATTTGGTATTATTTATCTTCCTTAATTGGGAAACCAGTTTGGAGGATCTGTCTTTTTCACTTAGACCTGTTCTACTTTACAGGTGGTATGAAGGTGAAGGCTGACCGAGATGAATCTTCTCCTTATGCTGCTATGCTTGCAGCACAAGATGTTTCTCAACGATGCAAGGTAAGGCATATTGATCATCTTGTTTTCACAGTTTTTTCCCTTCATCATTTTTATGATATATTAATTCAAGATATACATTCCACTTCTTAAGCCACTAGAAGATATAAAAAGAACCATGTTTTGGATCCCATTACTTTGTGAGGATTACAACAGATTGAAGTTATTTCAAGAGGTGTTATGAACTGTAAAAAATTTTAAGCTTTAGCTTAGGCTTTGTAAGATTGTGTGCTTGATCAAATGTGTGTTTACTTTGTGGGCATATTGCGTTCAAGCTTTCAGGTTTTTGACGGTTCTATCTAAATCATGGGTGTTTTCCATTAAAATCATTAATGTAATAATGAATGTTCAGTACCTTTGTCCATAGATGCTTAGCTTACCTGTACTCTGTTCCTTTATGTTTTAGCTCTTTTTAAACATCTCTTGCTGATGAAAAATGTAATATTTGCTGATTTGAAGGTTGTACTTGGTCTTGATTTATGTAATGTCAACCCATGTAAGATTGTCTGACAGCTATTCGATGATTCTGTTACCTATACTCGTTATTAATAATATTGTGTGTCGACCACGTCCAAGCACGAGTTAGTTGTCTGAATAGCCAAAGCAATTCAAAGTTGAATTTGGAAGTAGAGTGGAAGGCTAATTGTTTGATTAAAAAATATTTCACATTAGATTGCGCATGAAGGTTTTAATGTCATTTCTAGCTGCCTTTTGGTGTTCCTTGAGGTGTATTTTAATAGCTTGAAAGTTAAGCTGATTTGCAACTCGCTTTTGTGAATTAACAGGAGCTTGGAATTAATGCTCTTCACATTAAGCTTCGGGCTACAGGAGGTAACAAAACTAAGACTCCTGGTCCTGGTGCCCAATCCGCCCTTCGAGCCCTTGCTCGATCTGGAATGAAAATTGGACGCATAGGTAAATAACTTCTGTAATTGTTGAGTAGTTCAGTATCATCTACCAGGCCTAATTGCTTCGGAATTCTATTGTATTGACTACCTGCTCTAATGTTTTAGTCTTTAGTTTAGCATCATAAGTTTGAAACCCTGCTGAAAGTACGTTTTGCTTTATTTTGTCAGAGGATGTTACTCCTATTCCCACAGACAGCACTCGCAGAAAGGGTGGTAGAAGGGGACGGAGGCTGTGAATTCTTCTCAGCACCATACTTGCTGCATGGCAGAATATTTTGGTCAAGGGTTGCATCTTTGATTGTCTTTTTACATCTTAGATTTAAACATTTTGTAGCCTCAGTACAAGGTCATTTTGACTTGTGTTCAGTTGGAATTTTGCAAGCTTGTGAGGTAGCAAGTATTTCGTTGAGTTGGATTCGTAAGTTGTCTTTGTTTTTGATGATTGAATTTTTGTTGCTTCTTCCTTATTAACATTGTGTTTTATAGACGTGCATCTCTAACAACATTATAGCAACAGCAATCCAAACAAGTGGATCAGTTTAAAAGTACTAAGACGTAAAAATATTAGAGTTGGAACAGCTGAAACTGAATGGGAATAATCTAATACCACTACTTTTAAATCAATATCCGCACATTGCTTTTAGCTGTTTACCAGTTTGAGAACTAATGCTTTGATGGCTGTTTTGAACTATTAGCTTTTTTGTAGAACTGATCAAATTGAGTAATTTTCTTTATGCACTGAGGGTAAATTTGAAGACTTTCCAAATGAGTAGGACAAATAATATTGGCTGTGAAAGTAGCTTATGAAATAAAACAATAAGGAAAAGAATAATATTGCAAGGAAAAGAGAGGTAATTCTTAATGAATTTCAAATGATCAACAATGGGGTAAAATCCCTCTATTTATAGGAGAGAAAATGATTTAGCCATAAAGTAACAAACTTTCTAAAAGATAGACATTCACTCTAAGTACAATTTTATTCATAACACTCCTCTTTGAATGTCTACTCAATAGATAATGTGTCTCGTTAAAACCTTAACTAAAATAAAACCCAGTGAGAAAAATATTCTAGAGAAGGAAAAAGAGCACATGTTTAGAAATACGCTTTTTGGTTGCCTCGTTAAAAACCTTGCAAGGAAAACCGAGTGGGACAAAACCTTGTAAGGGAAAAAGAGTACAACGCGTATTAACTCCCATGATGAGAGCATCAATTCACATCCTTGAGCCTTCGCATCTCAAATTTGTATACTAGTTTCTTGAAGGTTGACATTGATAGAGATTTTGTGAATAAATCAGCCATATTATAATTTGAACGAATCTGTTGCACATTGATATCACCATTCTTTTGAAGCTTATGTGTGAAAAATAACTTCGGTGAAATGTGGTTTGTCCTATCTCCTTTTATGAATCCTCCCTTCAATTGGGCTATGCATGCTGCATTGTCTTCATACAAAATTATGGGTAATTTGTCACATTTCAAATCACATTTGTCTCGAATAAGATGTATTATAGACCTCAACCACACACATTCTCGACTTGCTTCATGAATAGCAATTATCTCAGCTTGATTAGATGAATTAGCTACGATTGATTGCTTAGTCGATCGCCAGGATATGACAGTGCCTCCACAGGTCGAGCCTTGTGTGGGTCGGATAAATACCCAGCATCGGCATAACAAACAAGATCGGGACTGCATTTGTTGCCATAAAATAAGCCCATATCGGTATTCCCTTTTAGATACTGCAATATGTGTTTGATTACATTTCAATGTCTCCTTGTAGGAGTATAACTATATCTTGCTAAGACATTAACTGGAAAAGTTATGTCAGGCCTTGTAGTGTTAACAAGATACATTAGTGCACCAATTACACTAAGATATGGAACTTCAGGACCAAGTAGCTCTTCATTCTTTTCTTGAGATCGGAATGGATTCATATTCACATCAAGTAATCGAACAACCATCGGAGTACTTAATGGATGTGCTCCATCCATGTAAAATCGTTTCAATACCTTTTCTATGTACGCAGAATGATGAACAAAAGTTCCGTTTGCCAAATGTTCAATTTATAAACCGAGACATAATTTTGTCTTTCCAAATTCTTTCATCTCGAATTCCTTCTTTAAATAATAAATTGCCTTTTGGAGTTCTATATAAGTTCCAATAAGTTTTATGTCATCAACATATACGGCAAGTGCAACAAATTCTGATGTTATTTTTTTTTTTTATAAAAATATATGGACAAATGTCATCATTTGTATAACCTTCCTTTAATAAATACTCACTTAGGCAGTTATACCACATTCTTTCTGATTGCTTTAGATCATACAAAGATCTTTGCAATTTGATTGAAAATATTTTCCGGGACTTTGAATTATGTGTGTCAGGCATTTTAAATGCCTCGGAAATTTTTATGTATATCTCATTATCAAGTGACCCGTAAAGGTAGACTGTAACCACATCCATTAAATGCATGTCAAGCTTTTCATGGACATCAAAACTAATGAGATAACGAAATATTATTGCATCCATAACATGTGAATATGTCTCTTCATAATCGACACCAGGCGTGCCTTATATTTTTGTACCTCATTTTTCTCATTCCTCTTGCGTACAAAGACCTATTTATAGCTAATAGGCTTAACGCCATTAGGTGTTTGGACTACAGGCCCAAAAACTTCATGTTTCGCAAGTGAATCCAACTCGGATTGGATTGCTTCTTATCATTTTGGCCAATCACGTCTTTGTCGATATTGTCCAACAGATTGCGGTTCAATATCCTCACTATCTTGCATAATGCTAGATGCAACATTGTATGCAAAGACATAATCCACCACTATATCCAATCGATTCAAATTTGTCTTAATATCGATTGGATTTATTGGTAGTTCCTTATTTTCTTAAGTATCATGCTCAGTGATTTCCTCATGAATCTCAGGATTGGTTAAATCGTGGATTTCTTTTCGAGACTCTTTCGTAGTATCATCTCGATCATTTGTTTTTCTTTTTCTAGGATTTCAATCCTTAGAACCCAATGGTCTTCCACGTTTTAGGCGTGCTTTTGATTCATTAGTTATGACACTAGAAGATTTTTAACAGAGACATCAATACGGATTGGAACATTCTCTGCAGGGATATGTGATTTTGTTATACTTTTCAGATCCGTAAATGCGTCTGCATTTGATTTGTTATTTTCTACAAATGAATAATCTTTTACATTTTTTTTCACAAATAGAGGCACGTGGATCAAGATGAGATAATGATGGATTTTCTACAAAATTTCTCGTTTGGTTTCACCATTTCCCCCCTAATTTTGGGAAAAATATCTCATCGAATCGACAATCTGCAAATCGAACAGTGAATAAATCTCCCGTTAATGTTTCGAGGTAGCGAATAATGGAGGGTGATTCAAGCCCAACATATATTCCTAACCTTCTTTGGGGACCCATTTTAGTGCGATATGGCGGTGCTACAGGCACATATACTGCGCATCCAAAATTTTTTAAGTGGGATATATTAAGTTCATGACTCAAAACTAATTACAACAGAGAATATTTATGATAATTTGTCGGCCTGAGACAGTTTTACATGCATAAATTTGCGTAGGAATCCAAAGGATCAATACACTGAGATTTAAAAAAGAATCAGAGGTTTCTTTTAGAAATGAAATGACCTCTTTGTATATTATTTCCACGATATGAGTTTGACAGAAACTAATAACATATTTGGTCAAGTTGGAAAAATCAGCTTATTTTGAGAAGTGCTTTTCAAAAAAGTATTTTTGGAGAAAAGCAGTTTGTGTTTGGCTAATCAATTTGAAAAATACTTTTAAACAATAATTTGTGTTTGACCAAGTTTTTCAAAAAGTGCTTTTATGTGTCAAATTACAAAAATGACATGAACAGATTTGTTTAATAGTTAATATTATATAAGTAGATAAATAATTACAAATTTTATTGTTGAAGATAATAATTAAGTTTTTTATTTTATTTAAGTAAAATATAAAAATAAAATTAAAAAGTACTTTATTCTTTCAAGATAATTTAAATATATCAAAAATCATTCAATAAATATAAAAGTTCATCCCAAAAGTCATTTTATATTATTTAATAGTTTAACTAAGTAAGGTTATTTTGGTATATATAATATTTTGCGAAGGGTATTTTTGGTAGGAAGAAAACTCAAAACTACTTCTGCTTCTGTTTCTGGAGAGAAATTACTTTTTTTTCTTCTTCAAAACTGCTTTTACTTCTAGCCAAAAATACTATTTTTTCAAAAGAAAGGTTGGCCAAACACCTCAAATTGAGAAAAAAAATATTTTTTGAAAAAAAACACTTTTAGCTGCCGAGAAGCTTGGCCAAACAGATAGTCTTCCTTTGAAAGTAAAATGAGAACTTTCCTTAAGAGGAAGAAAAACTGTAAATGCTTTAGTACGGATTCAATATTCCTCGGGTGCATTCTTTATTGATTTCCTCTCCAGCAATGTTCACAACATTTATTATATTTTAATATTGTTTACCTATGAAATTGAAAGATGGATTTCTCCATAAAGGACAATTGAAGCGTGTAATATTCTCCAAACTCGGGCATATAAGTTTTCTAAAGACCGAATGGCTAACGGAAATAGTGTATCATCACTGGTCAAATACGTTACTAAATATTGGAACTAAGCAAATTCAAACATTGTCTAAAACGAATACTAAAATTATATTTAATCAAAACGAACTAACACTATTTTATAAAATAAATAATATTAATTACTGCTCATATAAAGAACAATAATTACATATTTATTTACTAACAACTATTAATAGGCAAAAATAAAAATCAAACTACTCAATCATCTTTAATCACAGATCCATCATCGATCAAGTGATCTATTTTTCCATCAGGGTGCTCAAAGAAATCTACCACATCCAAGTGGGTGATGTCAAATTCATTGTCACAGATAAAATTAGCTTCAGGCCTTTATTCTTCAGAGACGCTTGATAAAGCTCAACCAAATATCTTGGTATACGACAAATATTTGCCCAATGCCCTTTTCCACCGCAATGATAGCATTCAGTTTCTGAACCATTTGCCTTTGACTTCTCTTCTTTCCCTTTCCACTTTTGGTGGTTATTTTTCTTCGGAAAATAATTAACACGAGGAATTTTTTTTCCTTGTCCACGGCCACGACCACGACCTTTTTCATGCTTAGTATAATGTGAATACACCTCATCCACTTCAGGCAATGGTGTAGACCCAGCGGGTCGATTTTCGTGATTTCTCATTAGCAAGTCGTTGTTTCATTCAGCCATAAGGAGAAGAGAAATCAACTTAGAGTGCTTCTTGAAACCTTTCTCTCTATACTGTTGTTGCAGGATCATATTGGAGGCACGAAATATTGTGAACGTTTTTTCAAGCATATCATAGTCAGTGATACTATCTTCACAGAGTTTCAATTTAGAAGTAATTCTGAACATCGTAGAATTGTATTCAGAAACAGACTTAAAGTCTTGGAGCCTCAGATGAGCCCAATCATATCGTGTTTGTGGAAGAGTGACCAACTTTAAGTTGTCATATCTTTCCTTTAAGCCATTCCACAAAACAAGTGGATCTTTGACTGTGAGATATTCTATTTTTAACCCTTTATCAAGGTGATGGCGCAAGAAAATCAAGGCCTTAGCACAATCTTGGATAGATGCTTTATTTTTATCTTTAATGGCATCTCCAAAGCAACAAACTTCCTTTTCGTAATATTAGTCATAATTAAAAGAGGAGAAAAATTATACCTTATTCTTCTCAAAGAGCTTTTTGAGACGGTACAGTCTCGTGCTGATAACGTGAAATAAAACAATAAGGAAAAGAATAATATTGCAAGGAAAAGAGAGAGGTAATTCTTATTGAATTTCAGATGATTTACAATGGGGTAAAGCCCCTCTATTTATAGGGTAAAAAATGACTTAACCATAAAGTAACAAACTCTCTAAAAGATAGATATTCACTCTAAGTACAATTCTATTCATAACAGCTTAATAGTTTTAGCAGAGAAATCAGTAGCTCAATTATAGTTAAGGTGGTGTACGATGTAACAACGCAACAACAAACTCAGTGTAATCTTATAAGTGGGGTCTGATGATGGTAGTGTGTACGCAGATCTTACCCCTAGCATGTGAAGATAGGGAGGCTATTTCCGATGGACCCTCATCTTAGGTGAAGCATAGTCACATCACTTTCTGAAAAGAAAACAATAATGCACAAACCATGGAAAGGCAATAGTAACATGGCATATTACCAACAACAGCACTATAACAAGAAAACTGAAGCAAAAGAAATACCGGTAATAATGCATGTCTAGGTATATAGAAATATGAGAATACTATTAATCCTACAAGAGAAGGATACTCTCGCGACTACCTACTAGTCTTCTACCATAATTCTCAATCTCCCCACCTTGCTATCAAGAGTAATGTTCTCGGTAAGCTGAAGATGTATTATATCTTGCCTTATCACCTCTCCGTAATACTTTTTAGGCTTGCCTCTATCCCTCCTCAGATCCACCATGACTAACCTCTTACACCTCCTCACTGGGGTATTTGGATATGTTTTTTACATGCCCGAACCATCTCAGCCTCGCTTCCCCCCACTTGTCTACCACGGGTGTCACTCCCACCTTGTCCTTCATTCCTGATCTAATCTTTTTTAATATACCCACACATCTATCTCAACATTCTCATCTCCGCTGAATACGACTTAACAATGGTAATAGTTATTTCCAAAATTGTGGTTTACAGCTATGAATATTTATTCTTTTAACAAAATACATGCGTAGTTTATAACCCATTGCGTTAGTTTTTATTACAGTTGGATATGTATATCTCGAAGAAACGACCTTATTTGTCGATTATAATGTGATGGGCATTGAAAGAAGCCTCTGCAATCCAAACAATAGACCTAGCCCTTCGCAGGAGTTATCCTCTCAAAGTATATTTTGCTGCTTAAATTTCTTCTCTCCCTAATATATCTTTGTTTAACTTTCGAGCATTACCAAAAATAGTTGAGGTTAGCCAGAACAACGGAGAAGAGCCAGCTTAAGAAATAAAAATTGCTTAGTTGAAAGAATCAGTATAGTTGTATTCTGCCCTCTTAAGCAGGCAAAGCTACCGCATTTAATTTTCCAGAGAATGGTGGTGACTGGTGATGTATTGTTTAATTATTGCTATGGCTTCCAATGTTATGTTGGCATTATAACAATTTGCAGAAAATACCCACACGGTTTTGTAAGACTTGGGACAAAGAAGGGTTCAGTCATTGTTGAAACAAGTGGAGAGGTCTTTCCTTTTTAAGACAAACATAAGTGAAAAAGAATCTTCAACACCAGATTAAAGAAGATGCAAAAAGATATAGAAACCTTGTTACCAAGCTTGGAAACCAAAGTGTTGAACTAGTTTTGTTCTGTTTGTTGAAATTCAACAAGAAACATTTTTAGGCTCGCAAGTAACTAAAGAGGATTGTTTGAATTAATTGTTGTATTGTTGTCCTTACCCCTAACTTAAGTAAAAGCTTATCTTCAATAAGCTTTAGAGTATACCATGAATACCCAATATAAGGTTGTTACATGGATCGCTTGTAGTTAATCTTTCTTGATGTACCGGATTGTACTCAGTGGGCGTAGTAAGGAATTTCCGTTTAGTTTTGGCAAACAAAATGGCCAAATATTTAGACAGGGAATTGAATCTGTGAACAATATCTCACTTTGAAGACCCTGGACCATTGGACTGTCTCACTCAACTATATTAAAGGTGTTTAAAATGTAATAATTTTTTAGAAAAAAGTATGTTCGCTTGATCACCCTTGACATAGTGTAGAGAAAAGGCTCAAAATAGTCCAGTATCTTTGGACTTTAACTCAAACTAGTCCTATTTTTTTCACATGGCGCACTAATAGTCCAAATTCTTTAATAAAGTGGTACACTTTTAGTCTCCATGTTTGATATGAAAAAAAATATTTTCCTAAAAAATGAGCGGTTATCATTTATTTTTCCTTGTTTGGTTGGTGAGTGAAAAATATTTTCAGGAAATTTTTTTCTAGTGTTTGTTTTGTTTAGAGAGTAAAAAATATTTTTTAGAAATTTTTTTATGCTACTTTTCTTACCCCCTCCCCCTTCTCCCAAATCCCCATATTTTCCGTGCTCCCCTTCCCCCTCCCCTCCCCTCAACCCCAATTACCCAACGTTTTCAAGACTCTATTTTTTTTAAGAATTTAATTATTCTTTTAAAACTTTACACAAACTAAAATGATTAATGTGTTGCTTTACCTTTTCTCGCAAAAACAACGTTGAAATTTGTGTTACACAACTAAAAAGAAAATACTCTTTTTTTTGGTTGAAAAAGAAACTACTCTTTCTACAACATGAAAAAGTACTCATTTTGTTAGAACGAAAGAAAATACTTTTTCTATATCATGAAAAGAAAATACTTTTTGCTATATCATTTTATAGAAATGAAAGAAAACACTTTTCTACAACATAAAAAGAAGAAGAATTAACCCAAATAGCCGCCTACCTAACTGCTTAGACTAAAAATTGTCGGTGGAGGTATAATTATGTATAATAAATGTATAATCTATGTATATGCTAGAAAATGTATACAATGAAGAAAAGTTTGAAGAAAAGGGCGTGCAAGGTTGAAGAAAAGTTTTGGAAAATGTTTTTCCTTCTCTTGACAGGGAAAATATTTTCCTCCAATTGGAGGAAAATGAGTTCATTAGAAAAATATTTTTTAAAATATTTAAGCCAATCAAACATGAGAAAATTGAAAAATATATTTTTTCATATCAAACATGGAGACTAAAAGTGTACCACTTTATTAGTGCTCCACTTTATTAAAGAATATGGACTATTAGTGCTTCATGTAAAAGAAATATGACTAATTTGAGTTAAAGTCCAAAGATACTCAACTATTTTGGGTCTTTTCTCACATAGTACACGTAGCTACGCCACTGATTTGCAATGGGAACGTTTCATTCCATTTTTCAAATGAGAAGGCATTGATCAATATATTTGAGATCGGATTAGGGACAATAACAGAAATCTGGCATGATGTTAATATTAAAAAATGCATCATTCATGAATAACTCCAAGTTAAAAATCTATAGACTGTCTTTGAGACAGAACATAAATATAAAATCATAACTATTTTCTTTTTTCCTTTGTTCTGTTCACCCACTGTTTTAGTGCAGCTTAGCATCGGCCATGCTCCAGGCATTTAGAGTCTCAATTGTGATTGCTTCTGTGCCATTGTTGAAGGCAAACAAATGTGCCTTATCAAAGATTGCTAATGTTGGATAAACTCTTGATGTAATACATGTTTTTCCTCCAGCACCAAAACTTTCCACTACTGAGTTATCAATCTGCAAATATAACTAAATTGTCAATACACACAAAATATATAACCATGTAAATTAACAAAGAATAAGAGAGAATTCAAGATTCTTTTGAAGAAAGAAAGAGATCTTACCAAACTCCTAAGAGACAACTTCTTATATGCTAAATCTACATCCACATATCCAGCAAACGACGGTTTGTACATAGTTGTTTCATTCTTGAGGGTTGACCTGGTGACACCAACAAATATAATTCAACAAACAAATCAATCAATTGAAGTTAAATAGCCATTTAGCCAATTGCTAGAGATATAAAAACAAGTCTTAACAGAGAATTATGTAAAAAGTTGCAACTTAGTTTATAGTGGGACTGCAATGAACAACAACAACAAACTCAGTATATTCCCACAGGTGAGCTTGGGGTATGGGGAGGGTTGTGTGTATATAGACCTTTACCCTACCTAGTGAAGGTAGAGAGGCTGTTTTCAGTACACCCTCGGCTCAGAAAAGGTGAGAGAACAAGAAAATAGAAAGATGTTCATATTTGTTAATGAAGTGGATTTTTTTGTGTGGATTCAGGGTGTTAAGAACGTAAAGAACAAACCTCGAGGCATCAGAGCACATAAGAACCTTGTATTTATCTTGAGCTTTAAAAACTCTAAAGAAAACAGGTGTGTATTCTTCCAAGTTTTTAGAAGCCAAAGTTATGAGTCCAAATGGCCCGAGTCCACCTTGGACTGTTGAACCCTTAATGAAGCATACATCTTGCGCGTAAAGATCAGCCCAACTAGGATCAAATGGCTCTGCCTTGTCCAAACTTGCGAACGAGAAAGTCACTTCAACATCAGCCTGCAATTTTCATGAATGCTCTAAGTCAGACTTAGTTTGTCTTTCTTGTCTCAAATATAAGTATAAAAATGAAAAAAAATGAAGTCCAAACCTGTGCAACTGTGATTCCTTTGACTTCAATCTTTTCTCCCTTGTACAACTTGTGATTACTTAGTTGGACCTTTTCCTTTCTTAGAGTTTCTAATTCTTTAACAGGCCATTGAACCAATTGCTTTCCACTTGGATCAAGCCATAGCTTGCGAGGGATAGGGTGGACTCCGGCCCATCCTTTCCTGACATCGTCATCAACAGTATCTGATTCATTAGCCCAACCCAACATAATTCTTCGATTCTTGCTAGGGTCATAGAATGATTTGGACGCATAATAATTACCATAGTCAAGTCTCAATCCCTTCCAACCATCAACAGAAGTGTTATCTGGAATATACCTATCTTTTTTGGTGTCATAGGTACCGACTGTGTAGTACTCAAACCTCGTAACATCAAGACTAACCTTAAGAACATGCTTAATGTATTCACCATTGTATGAGGTATCCAAACCATTTGTATGCTTTAATGACACTGGGAAAAAATCAGGGCATTCCCAATTTCCAGTATTGGTAGCTGTATGAAGTGGATGTTTGGCTTTGGTCCATTTCATGAAGTCCTTACTTCTGTACAATATTGCCTTTCCTCTATGATTCCTCACACTCCCAACCAAGATTCTCCAATGACCATCTCGGCCCATCCAAGCTGTCGTTGGGTCGCGAAATTGAGTTTTGTTGATGCTCATGTCAGCAACGATTAACGGATTGTTATCGGGCTTGATCCATTTACGGAGATATGGATCAGACAAGTTAGCCGGGATCGCGTAGTTTTGGACTTGTGTCCTGTTAGCATCTACAATTCCAGTGTAGAGAATAATAGGCTTATTGCCTGGCAAAATTGTAGCTGAACCTGACCATGTTCCAAACTTGTCAAATATTTTGGAAGGGTAAATAGCAGGCTCAAGTGGTATCCAATTAATCAAATCTGTTGAGACTGAATGGGCCCAAACTATGTTGCCCCAAACTGCTCCTTTTGGGTTGTATTGGTAGAATAGATGGTACACTCCATTGTAATACATTGGGCCTGTTGAGAACAAAAGTAACAGAGTAAAAGGTAATGAGTAAATGAAATTTCATTATGGCTAGTATTAGGAAAAAAAAATATAGTACACAAGAAAATTCTGACTCACCATTTGGATCTGTTGTTTGTTTGAAGCATCCAAGAAACCATGAAAAAAATGGAAAAAATCGAGATTGATTAGAAAAATACAATTAAAAATACATTCGAGACACATATATAGCAAGAAACCACACCTTAATTGTAGGATATTAAAAAAAAATTGTGAAACCTAAAGGGAGCATAAACAGAGAAATTATCATCTAGTTATTTAAGTATCTAGATGAAGAATGCACATATTTTGCAGTTTTGATGGAAGTTTTGATGCAGACCCCAATAACTAATTGATGGAGTAAATGAAAGGTGAAAATACAGAACTCTAGGAATTGCAAAAAGATTAGTGGTCTTTTTCTAGTTCAACATAGAACTAACTCTTATCCTATTTTTTGTGAGTTTCTGAAGGGAACCAACTCATGCAAGCACCATAACTTCAAATTGCAAACATTCCTTAACTACGAAACCAAAAGGCACCACACCCCTTGTCCAAGAATGTTAAAAAGAAGAAAAAATTTACAGTGGATCCAAGAAATGACGAAGAACAATAAACTCAGTGTAATCTCATGAAATAGGGTTTGAGGAGGGTAGGGTGTATGCAAACATTACTCCTACCTTTGTGAAGATATAAAGACTCTTTTCGATAGACTCTCCGCTCAAGGAAAAAATATAAAAAAAACAGAAAGAACAAGTCGTAACGACAATAAGAATAGATGATAGTATAATCGAAGCGAAAGAAATAATATATAATAAAAGAAATCGGTGTGTAAGAAGATACGAAAATACGAGACTAATACTATTGATACCGGCCTAGAAATGAGACACGCATGCCTACCTACTAGCCTTTTACCCTAATTCTCAACCTCCACACCCTCCTATTAAGGTCATGTCATACCTAATCACTTTTTCTCAATTCTTCTTACACCTACCTCTATCCCTCCTCAGCCTCACCAGGCCAACCTCTCACAAATGATGAAATATTTTATTATTTTGAAGTAACTGAATTATAATAAAGCAACATGTTCGATATATGTAGTAAAAAAGAAGTCAAAGATACAACAATCAAAGAAAAAAAATTAAATGAAGACAAAAGATGACCAGAAGTTTGATAACCGACATGCCCGAAGACTTCCTTACAAGTTGCTCCAAAGTCATTTGGATTTTTCTTTATTCCTCACAGAGAAAGAAAATTAAATGAGGGTCGTTTTCTGGTTCTTTACTTTCTCTCTTTCTGATTGTAACAACAATTATTATTATTATTATTATTATTATTATTATTATTATTATTATTATTATTATTATTATTATTATTATTATTATTATTATTATTATTATTATTATTTGTGTGGAATTTTACGTGTTACTTCAGCAAAGAAAAAAGAAGAAGAGAGAATTCTACGTGTTACAGATAGTGAGATAGATACATGGATTGTCAAGAGAAGAAACAAAATCTGAACTTCAAACATTTATGGTTAAAACTTCCTTTTTAGCTTTACGTCACATGTTTTGGCTCTATATTTCACGTACTTTAGGGCATTTTGGCTTCTATATCACTTCACATCCACATGTATTAGTATCTATATTATATTAAAAGCACGAAGGCTTTTAGCGAAATATCGTTCGCATTTTTACCCTTTAAAAATCAGTTTTACATTAGATAAAATTATAATTTAAATTACTTTCCTAATAATTAGGACTTTAAAATCAAATCAAATTTTTATTTACTAATTCAAACCTTATTTGAATTAGGTAAGAAGTCCTTAACATTTCCGAAATTTTATGACATTTTCAATTAATAAAAGAATTATATCAATTTATGGTAAGCTTCTCCATATTCACACAGTACACGTTAGGTTTGTTTATTTTTTTCTTTTTTTGCTTAAATATAATTAATCATTTAAATTCTATTAGAATAAATTTATTAGTGGTAAATATTTAAAAAATTATGAGAAATAAATATATCAACATAAATATACTTTCCATGTTAGATATAATGATAACTACCATTAACATTTTATATGTTGCATATTACAATTGATTTTCTAAATTTTCAATGAACTAATATCTTAATTGTATATAATTTTAGTATCTTAATAAAATAAAATAGAGAAATTTTTCTTACACCAAGAATATCGTCTATAAAAGATATTAGTTAGATACAAAAATATAATATATCATGCTTATCTTCATAAGAAATATATAAATAACCTACTTAAATTCTTAATCGTTGAAAATTCAAAAGATAACCAATAACTATGTATTCAATTATTTCATCAATGTAACATTTATTTTTTAATTTAAATAAATATTACATTTATCTTGATGTCAATTGTTATCACACATAGTTCATTCTTATTCTAAATTTTATACACTTTTTATTAATAGAAGCAAAAACACGTGCAACGCACGTATACTAAAACTAGTTATATTATATGATCCATTTGTCATTTGGGTCAGATTAATCGGCCACCAACCCCCCACCTCCCCACCCCCACAACCACACCATTCCCCCCTGGGGTTGGAGGAAGTCGAAGTTGATTAAATCATTTACTCTATAAATCTCTACTGATATTAATGCTCAATGTAAACAAAATATCATGCATCAAGCCCACTTGATCAGCTTAGAATAATGTTACCTACACTTTATTTTATCCACAAAAACGAGAAGGGGGTTGGTTTGCCATTTATTGCAACAGGTTCAATAGGTCAAATCTCCCACTTTGAGACTAAGATCACATGTGAAACCATATAGTGTTCAAAATATTAAATGAAGGAATTAATCTATTGGTGATTTGGAGGCATAGATTACATCTTGTGTATTCAATGCACATATCACTTTTCTTTGCTTTTCAAGAAGTCAAGTACGAGAAGTAATTTTGTCCACAAATTACAATTCATGCATCGTTATTTGTTTTCCAGGATAAGCATCCTAATAATAGTTCTGTTAGTGTGTGAATAAAATCTCACATGAAAAATATAAAAAAAAAGAAGCTACTTATAAGAAATTGAATGCTCTTAATGGTGAGATGCCTTTTGGAGAAAATCGTGCGAGCTTGCCCAAAACAATATCACACCATGTTAGAATATTTTTGGATCGTTTTAGCCCAATAAATTTTATATCCCGATAACCTAATTGCATGATTTTTACCAAGGGAATTCAAAAAATAAAAAAAATAAATACAAGAAGAAGTTATGTACATAAAAAAAATTGTGTAATTCTCGGGTGAAGGAGTTCGCCCGTCCGCCCACCTAGCTTTGCCCCTGCCTAATCGTAGATAAATGCTAGAATGAAATGACAGTTTTACAGTCAAGTTTAAATAGCTAGCTGTGCAGAACCCTTCTTTTATTGGTACCAATTTTACATAAAAGATACTTGAGTTATGACCATAAAATTCTGAATTCGCCGCTTATTATAGTAGAGTCAAATTTCAAACAAAGAACAATGATTTATATAAGTAGAAAAAGACAGGCTGGTTCTAAGTTTGACTCATGAGTTGCTGTGAGTAAGATAACGTAATATTTTCATATCTTCACTTCTTGAATGCATCTATAGAACGGTGACATTTATTAATTACCAATTATTAATAAGTGACTCTACTCGTCATGGGCAACATGTAGTTTCATTAACTCAAAAGCTGTCAGAGTATTATACTCTAACAAATTAAAATAACTCAACATTTCCAGTCAACAAGATGACAACCAATCAGGCAATAATTATTGAATAAACAAAATCTGCAAGTTATTCAGAGACGTGAAAACCTAAAATTTAGCTGAAAGAGAAAAAAGCATTAATTACTTCTCTTTGCCGAAAACAAATTTTTTTCTTTCTAAAGTCTCATCTCATTGATTAGAATGCAATGAATTTAATTATTACACCATTGCCCAAAATTGCATGAGAACAACAACAATTCATAAAAACATCACAAACCATAAATTTACTTATGTAGACACTTTCAAAGCCAAGAAGAAACCGCAAATTCAACATTCTTATTCAGAACTCACGACGTCTAAATCAGACAAAGACAGAGACATGAAAACGTACCGTTAATCCAGTTTTTGGGTGGTTGAAAATGGTAACCAGTTCTGTGGACATTTTTAACATTAGCAGAGCTAGTAGATTGCAAGTGCATATAAACTTTGTGAGAAGCATCGACACCACCATTGTTTGAAACAAAAGCAAAGAAATACAGCAAAAGAATTTGCAAAGCCCAAAGAGAAGAGTTTCTTAAAAACTCCATCTCTCTTTTTAGAACTGAAATAGTTGTTCTCTAAATCCTTTTTTTTTTTGTAGTAATGAGAGAGAAGTGTTGTGAAGTAGAAGAAAGAATGTGAAGAGTATTTATAGAGAAAAGTACAATAACTCAGAGATGAGTGGATAAATATGAAGACTAAGATTATATTGTTTACTTTTCAAAGATTTTTGGTGTTGAACAAAAATGCATAGGAGTAAACGTTGAATAAATGTTTTGATAAATAGACTGAGGGAAAATTCTCTGATGCTTCTCTTATTAAATTTAAAATTAAATTTTTTGTTCTTGTTTCCCACTCCTTTCCTCCTTTTGTTTACCGTTTTTTCCTCCCACATGGCTTTTGCCATTTGTTACGTACTTTCTTTGTGTGTATGCAAGTTGACTTGGACTTTTAAATTTTTTTTTTTTTTTTGAGAAACATGTTACCGTCATTGGGTCACGGTGTGTTATATTTAATTTTTTTATTTTATATTTGTTTTCCAACAGAACTTTTAGACAATATCAATAAATGTTCCTGTCTTTAAATAAATATTTTCCATTTTGTTAGGGGATAGAGATGGGAAAAGGAAAACGAAATGATGAGAATTAAACCAACACTTATTGTAGGCAAAACTTCCGTTAATGTCACGAAACTATACGCCTTGACGATAATGTTTAGTTTAATTTTAGATCAAATGATATTTGTTGTTCCTTCGGGGACATCCTATATAGAAAAAATCAGTTCAATATTTGTTGGATTGCAATTTTTCAACAACAAAACTGAAATTTTCAGAGCCATACATAATATTCTTCCTATCTTTATATATGTAAGTTTTATCTTTAGTATCTATTGGCTAGAAATACTTAAAATGAATGTTTGTCTTAAAAATAACCATAAAGAATTATAGTGTTACGAGTTTGAATACTCTATTAACAGTTAAGGAAAAGTGAGAGACTTACCCAAATAAGTAAACAGTACTCTTTGGTCGAGACTTAGAAAAATCAAAAGAAGACGAAGACCATTGATATTTGACGGTGGAATAACTCGATAGAAAATTCAAGAGAATAAAATACTCAGTTACAGTACGTAACTACAAATTCTTGTATTTTAAATATTGGGGAAAGTTATCCTCTTTCAGAATACTCTTATTTTCTAATTTTCAAAATTGCAGTATGAAATTTCAATATGATTTTCTTTTGATTTGTCAAAACAATATTTTGATTTTTAGAAAGCAATTCAAAAATGAGTACTTGAAGAGTCAGAAGTCAAAGGTTAGAGTGAACGGGACAAGTCCAAAATTGTGCTGGATTTGTCAACCCTTATTTCCTGTTTTCGCCCATAATCATCTAGGAAGGAACAGTCAGCAACTGGCTATTTTTATAACCTCTATTTTTCTTTTCTTCAAATTGGCAACCTCAGTCATTTTTTACTTTCTTTATTTTTTCTTTTGATGGGGTGGGTGGTTATTAAATACATATAGTCTTCAGTTTGCCAACAATTCAGTCGATCGTTAGAGTCTCAACCGCTCAAAACTTGAATGTTGCAACTTGCAATAATTACCGGTGGTCAGACGGATCCAGAATTTAAATTCTATTGGTTTAATTTTTTAGGTTCTTAGTATTAAAATCATTATATTTTTTTAAATTGTAGGTTCATATCTACTATTTATTACAGTTTTAGATATTTTTTATACGTAAACTTGTGCAGCACCTGTGGTGCTCGTGACAAGTTACATTACCAATGTATTATTCAATTGGGTAAACATTTAACCGTACATAGTTACATACATCGATAGGTCTATTGAATAGCCTCTCAAATTTTATAAGGTAGGGATAAGATTTGCGTACACACTATCCTCCTCATACCTCACTTATATGATTACACTGGATTTTTTGTTGTTGTTATACATACATCGATATTATAATGTGTTGTGAGGTTTATATAGCCTTGGGTTCTCCCACTTCAATAGTTAGCTTTTGGTGTGTAGCTCTTCCTCGGTTGTATCAATGGAATAAGTGTTATCCACCACCCATCTCACCGTATCATGAATGGTGACGCCGGTATTGCAGTGTTCACCCGGGACTAGAAATGTCTAGCGCACAACTAATCACGGGGTGCTTGGGCACCTTACTCGAAAATACCTACACGGGAAAGGGCTACCTACTTGTGGTAGAGTGAAAGCTACACAATGTGGAGCCGTCGAGGAAGACGGATACGGAACATGATGATTTGTTATGATTCATTGCAAGGTATATAACTTGATTCCTATATTTTCGTATTGCAATGTGCTGATGTGGGGTTTATATAGCATTAGGTTCTCCCACCTTAATAGCTTATTTTGGGGTGTGGTCTCTTTGGGTTGTATCGCATACATTATATGACTATTTTTTTTAAGTAAGTGGCTATTTAAATTAATTATTCAATAATTTTTGCAACTCATACACCAGTTTGCACAATATACACTACCAAAAATCCGGAAAAAATCGACCAAGCCATACCGACCAACGTTGGTCGGTCAACAAAAGCGACCAAAAATTCATCCAAAACGGACGGAAACTACAAAAAAAAATATTATATTTTTTTAAAATTACATACCGACCAAAGTTGGTCCGTATATTAGTCAAATATTTGACCGCAGTGGTCAGACTTGCTTAGTCAAAGCACCTTTTTGATTACCGACCAACAATGGTCAGTAATGTGGACCCACATTTTTAAATTTTAATAATTATATTATTATTTAAAATATTTTATAAAATTTATAGAATTTATAGTTAAGTTTACCGACCAAAACTGGTAGCTATTGCAGGGGACGATTTTACCGACCAACTTTGATCGGTATATGCAATTTATGGAAAATAACCGACCAAAGTTGGTCGGTTAATAGGTCAAACATGTTCAAACTTTTGAATCACATTAATATTTACTATCTAAATAATATAAATGTAATCCGTTAACACTTTATTTTGTAATACAAATAATGAATACACTAACATATACTATAACAAGCTATATATAGTTAAAGTAGTACAACGAAGTGTGTGTATGTATATATATATATATATATAGCCGCATATATTTAAGAACACGAAGCGCTAGGACCACATGGTCGGGTTCTTTTGGGGATAGACTTGTGAAGAAGCAATAATCTAATTAGTATATATAATTGATCATCATCAAATATATCTATTTATAAATTGGTTCATCGACTTATAACTTACTTAGATGCATAGATGAATATTAAAAACAAAACGTTTCGACCTATATCGACGAATATTAAAAACAAAATGTCTCGACCTATATCGATTAATCTATGTCATGCATTATTAATGATGAATGAGTGAAATATAGAAGAATTAATACTAAACATCTTTGACATGTATATATGGATCACAAATTAAAGAAATGAAAGAAGTTATTAGCATTAAGTAAACGAGTTAATAGGTCAAACGACTAAACACATTTAAAATAGAATAATATTGGTTTATCAATTGATAAAGTTTTCGTACGTAGTAATGTATGTGATTGATCATCAATTACGATATAGTGTGTGAAATTGCTCATATACTTAATTATAACTTAAAAAATTAACTTATATAGATGCTTATAATTTATTAAAAGTAATTAGTTAATATAATTATTTATAAAGATTATGCTTATAGTTTATAATTATTTATAGTAAATATATATATGAATAAAATAAATGCTTATAGTTTATAATATTTTAAGATATAAGTACACAAAAAAAACAATTTAATTTTTTTAAATAACCGACCAAAGTTGGTCGGTTAATAGTCAAAATACAGTCAACACCCGTCACTTTGTGTACCGACCAAAATTACCGGCCAACGTTGGTCGATAATTCTAATTTCAGATCCCAAATACGGGATTTTCCCCTCATTTATCTTACTCTCTTCTCAAAATTTTCTAACTACTCTCTTCTCCCTCACACACACAACACCCTTCCCCCTCTCCTTCTTTATTTTTCTCACACAAATCCCATTCCCCACCCCACGTCACCACTGCCCCTGCGTCGCCACTCCCCCGCCGTCGCCGCTACTACTGACTCCACTGCCGCCCCTCCTTCTCCATCTCCTAAAAATTCTAGGTTTCAATTATAACTTATATCTTTTTTGTTTAAATTTAATATTTTTTAATTAATTATGAATTAGTTAATTAATGTTTAAATTGATTGTTTAACTTTGTATTTTATTGAAACCTAGGGTTTAGGTCTTGTTTTAATTGAATTGATTACATATGGTGTAAATTGAATGTTTAAGTTTGTATTGACTTGAATAGTTTAGTTAGGAATTGAATTATTAATTTTGAATTGAATTGAGTTTTTAGGATTTGTTCTTGTGAATTGAACTTTTAGGGTATGAACTGAATTTTAAGGGGTAAGTGTTGAACGTTTTTGGATAGAGCTTATGTTTTGTGAGGTTAATTGAATTGTTTAGGGTATGGGTTGAACTTTTAGGATATGAATTGAACTTTTAGAGGTAATGGTTGAACCTTTTGGATCTGAATTGAACTTTTAGGGTATAAATTGAACTTTTAGGGGTAGTGGTTGAACTTTTAGGATATGAATTGAACTTATAGTTTATGTTTAAATTGTCTGGGTGGATGACTGCTGGGAAGCTAGCTTGTCCTTACTGCATGAAAAATGGTAAAGCGTTCACTTTGAAACATGGCCGAAAGCAATCATGGTTTGATTGTCACCGTCAGTTCTTGCGTGATGATCATGAGTTTAGAAGGATGAAAAATATATTCAAAAAGAATAAAGTGGAATATGATTCGCCACCTCCGATACTTTCAGGTGAGGAAATTTGGGAGAGGGTCCAGAACTTCAGTAAAGTTACTGAGGCTCCACCTTTTGGATTCCTCGGATATGGTATGTTACTCATAATTGGACGAAACAGAGTATATTTTGGGAGTTGCCTTATTGGAAGGATAATCTTCTCCGACACAATCTTGATGTCATGCATATTGAAAAGAATTATTTTGACAATTTGTTCAATATGGTGATGGATGTTAAAGGTAAGAAAAAAGATAACCCGAAGGCTAGAATGGACTTACAAGAATATTGCAGGCAACCTGAATTA